ACTGAGAGAAAATTGCCCTCTTCATAACCATGACAGAAGCACAAAGGGCAGGTAGGCTGAAAGCACAAGACAGCACAGTTTAAGTTAGAAACATCTACAAAACTGCACGTCAGAACTCTTAAGACTATTTATTCAACAAAGCTTTTTCAGATGCTCAAGTCAAGCTTCTATCACTTCTTCATGGATGATGCCTGTTTTCACTGACGGTGCATTTAATTCTACTTACTAGCTAAATTTTCAAAGAAATTGAGTTCTCTAATCTCCATTTCACTCCAAACTCTGAACACGAAGCTAGTGAAACTCTGGTTATGTAGAATTATGGCTCAGATCGCAATAAAATTCAGGATTTTTTAGACATACTTGATTATGAACTTCCACGTATTGGCATGAAGAGCATGGTCCATATTGGAAATGACAGAGCAGATCTCCAGCATGGTGTGAATTACTACGAAGGAAATAAGAATAGCAACAACTGAATTCAAGCAGTCATAATTTCACAGACAGCACCGCATTGATGCTGAATCAGGAGAATGGCTCAGTTCTTAGGGCTGTCCCTTTCAAGCAAACACATTCAACATTCCCCATCTCACACACAGGGTTTCAAGCAGCAAAACGCTGCCTTCCAAAGGGCTGGTCAGGACTGCAGGAACTGAACTCAGAACCATGCTTAAAGATTCAAACATTCTTTCCACAGAGAAAAAAGAAAAAAAAGACTGAGCAAAACTAACAACCTTTAGATCCACTTGTACCTGACACCATATCTGTGATGTCATCTTCAGTAGATGCAGACCCCACAGAAATCTGATCAAACAGTTCCATCAGCTGTTTCTGAAGAGAATAAGTTTCCTTGAACACAGCTTGCAGGAGGTCAGAAATCAAGTGCAGATGCCCACAGTACACTGATTCGCTATCCTATAAGAAATGGGGAAGACAAGGTTAAAAAAAAGTTCAGGAATCACAGACTGACCTTTCAAAAAGAACAAAGCATAGATGTACATGCTTCTACTCAATACCCAGCTAGATCTGTAGTTTCTGATACCAACACCTGCTTGCTAAATATGAAATGCTATTTACCTGCACAGCCTAATCAACAGCTAGTGAAGTCTGTCTGGCTCTGGTGAGTTCAGTTGGCTTTGGATTAGCATTTGATTCATGAATCTCAGATCATATTTCTGAACACAACAGTATAGCTGTAGAACAAAGAAAGCAGCATTCCAAACATTTCCCAAAACTTCAGAATTAAAATTGTTACATAAAAGGTATGGCACCTGAGTTCAAATCTGGCTGTAAATGATCCCGTAAGAAACAAAAAGTGAACAGTGAAAGTGAAGGCTCACCAAAAGCTGTTGTGTCCTTATAATAACCTGGTTTCATATTGACTGTTTAAGTGGGCATTACTGTTGCATCTAAAAACTGATACATGTTACTCCTTGTAACTAATAAAAAGGTTTTCATTTCAACTTCCAATCCACTTTGGAACACACATATAAATAAGGCAAGCAGCACCATTTTCATCACCCTTTGTAGCTCTGAAAACTCCTGCAGCTATCAGAAGTGCACAGATATCACAGCCTACATTCATAAGCAGAGCTTATGTTCAACTGACACTGATGCAAAATTTGGAAATAGGAGGGCCTATGCCTGCCACTACCAGGTACAAATTGGTGGGCAGACAGATGAAAAATAACTTTTGTACTTGTACATGCTGTAAATGATTTAATAGCAATAGAAATAAATCCTACAGCAACATTATTTTGAAACAGGATCTTCTTATAAAGGGATCATCTCCCAGAAAACAATCAGTCAGACAATTTTTCTCCTTCTAACACAGGCCTACCTTGCAGTGTGTAAACGTGTTCTTTATTATATAAAGAACAGAGGATGGAAGGGTGCGGATACTCTCCAAGGGCACACAGTCTTGCAGTGTACAGATGTATCGTACACAACTGGTCAGAGTTTCCAGGAGTTGCACTACAGTCTTAAATCAAGAAGAAACAACCATAATTAATGCTTTCCAACTCCTGTACAAACTTCAGAAGCATTTTTTCTTAGCAGAATTGCTCCTAGATTTTATGACATTCAAAGTTCACCGCTATTTGCATCAATAAGTAGTTTATTAAAGACGAATATAGGTCTACAAAATATCAACAAATCCAATGCTTTTTCTGATACCACTCCCCACTTCTTTTTGCTACTGTTCTCTACTTTGAAAACATCTTAACTCCTAAATGGCTGTAATAATAATTGCCACATTTAGTCTTCAAATATGGAGAATTACACTCAATTTGCATTAGAAACTATGCAGAATTTGATATTTTCTTTACGTTCTGATCAACATCACAGGCTAAACACAGTCAAATAATTCATAAAATTTTAACTGAACTTCAATTGCAATGATGTTTGGATTACATTTTTGCCAGCTAGTTAGCAGACAGCATAAACACTCAAAAAAACCCAGTTAACTTATTAGGTAAAACCTAAGCATAATGGACTTGCCTGTAAAAGATTCCTTACAGTACTGCGTAACTCTGTATTCTGGTCAGTTAATCCTTTGGCTTCACTGGAGAGTTCATACATCAATTTATCATATAACCGTAGAGTCTGTCAGGAAAAAAATTCACATAGTTTAAATATTTTATTTATAAACATGCACAAAATAAATAGCAACACCTGCGTGCTCCCTTGGACAGGAGTCAGAGACTACCAAGATAACTCACGGGAGAAAACGATGCTTTCTAGAACATAAATTGTAAACAAAATTATATACCAAGATGTGAAAACCATCTATTCTTCCCAAATTATAGACAGTTGCCAGGTAAATGCAGGGTATGGCATGGTAATCCTTGTTCAGGAGATGCATGCTATGAGCCACTTTTCTTCTATCTCTAAAATTTGCTACAGGACACTCAGGAAAGGAAATGGAAATCAACTGGGCATTTTTACAGGCTTGCTAAAATATACAAGATGAGGCCTGAACCTTTAGTTGGCATTTCAGCACCACTTTAACACCATTAAGATACACGTATAATACAACCACAGTACAAAATACCATTTAATCAAAAAACAGAACATATGTCAGATCAATATTGCCTAAAGGCTTATTCAAAATATTACTCACAAATATGACAAAAATTATTTGTGATAGGAGTATTGGGTTCTTCAGCTTATTTATCACGAAAGCTGGCCTCAAAGTAAAATTCCCCACCTTGGTTGCTCTATACAAAGCCCAACGTTCTCAAAAAAAGAAGAAAAAAAAAAAGCAATTCTATTATTAAATAGAGAAAATAAGACACTATTCAATCCTCTCCCCACTGTATAGAATGGTAAAAATCACAGAAGTAGTCCAGCAACACTGTTAAACTTTTAACAGTCAAATATTGATTTCAAGCTTTGCATGCGAAGTAATGATTCTTTGCTGAGCCCTCAAAAGAAGAACCAATGCATTCTAAGCAGGTTTTCAGTACTGTACTGACAGAAAATGTCACGTTCAATTGAAGGTGGCATACCTTAGGTAATACTTTAGAGAAAAACGTTTCTTCCAAATCTCCAAGGCTGATATGAGGCAAAAACATTTCAGTCAGGATCCTCAAAACACCTGCAAAGCAAAACATTTCCAAAACATTATTGAAAACCATGTGATTATCAGAAGTACTAGGTACTGAACAGAGGGAAAAAAAGAACTGCATGGAACAGAAACAGATCAGACATCCGATTCTGAGAGAAGAAATGTAACGTGTCACTTATTATGTATGTCACATTAGCTGAAAAAAAAACACTAATAATAATAGCTCCGACATGCATAGAACCATCAGCAACAGCATCACACTGGACTATACTTGGTTGAAGGCTGAGTACAGTTGTTTACCCATAGCCTGGCACCTAGATACAACTGGAAACTTCCATATTCTTAATCTCAGATAGTTACAACAGTTTGATGTGCTGGCTAACACTGAGACATAGCTGAGCAGTGAATGTTAGCAAGAGTCCTAAACAGCTGCATCTCAATATTTTTTGATCACAGAAGTAGGTGGTAGGGTTTGGCCACTTGTGAGATAACAGCCAGCACCACAGAAAGCATCACCTCCCCCTTTCAAGAGCCTAAAAATCACAAATAGAGGCAAAGAAAAAACAGCCTTACATGCACATCTTATGAGACTTTATGAAGCTGTGTGTGTGATTCCTGTAATGTACAAGGTGCAGGATTGGTCAGGACCATGACAGAAAAGTCACAGGTGAGAGCAGAGCTCATTAACTCACGCAGAACTTATACGTGCAACACAATAAGCCTTAGCATAAAGACAACCAGCTGGCTGCTACTTACGGATGTGCTCAGTCCAGTCTTCGGACTCTTGATACATAGAGTAAAAGCGTTAAGGAAACTCAGGATCTGCAGTAAGACTGTATTAAGGCATTAGCAGAAGCAGAACCCCACAAACCGAAGGGATGCTCCATAACCAGCACAGGTGCTCAGCATATCAGAACACTTCTGTGTCCTGGGAGCATGCTTTGTATGCCGTGATTATGGGTTTTTTTTTTAATTTTCTGGGGGATGGGAAGGAACAGGGGCAATTACTAAAAGCTCTCCAGGAGCCACACGCTATTTCTCGCCTTTATTTTGGTGAAGTTCAGCACTCACTTCCAGCAAAACCCCGCACCCACCCACAGGCTTACATGCTTCAACTGCGCGGGGCAGCCCCACCATTTCAGGGTACCCCGTGTGGGTACCCCCGGCTCCCCCTACCGCAGTCCCGCCCCCCCTCCCACCCTTCAGGAAGGATATGAGGAGCCGGGGCAGGACGGCGGGCAGCTCCCTGCGGCACAGCTCCCAGTCCCAACCGTCCAGCTCCCGCAGGAGCAGCTCGGGGTCGGTCTGAGACATGGCACGACGCGCTCCGCTCCCCTCAGCGGTGGCGGGAAAACTCAACTCGGCGCCGCGTTCCCAGCAGCCTCTGCGGCTTCGGGGCCGCTGCGTACGTATTCTACGCCCCCTTGTCTCCCAGCGGTGCGCATGCGCATATGGAAGCGGAAGGCCAACCACGCGTGCCAGGCGGAGGGGGACTGAGCGCTGCAGCCTGTGGTGGGTGTAGGGAGCGGGCCCTCGGGGGAACGGGTGCTTAAAATGCGTTTAGAAGTTTTCCTCTCTTTAAAAAAAAAAAGAGAAAATTAGGATGTTGCTACCAGTTTGCTGGCGTTAACGTTCTGGCAGTTTGATACTGTGTAAAAATGCTTGCTCTGTTTGCAGGAATCATTCGCTTGATTCATTGGCAAAGCAGCGGGTATGCTGCCCACCGAGCGCTCGTTTCCACAGCGATAAGTGCCTGAAAATATCCTCTAAAAGAGAAATACATCAGCGCTGCTTTTAGATGAGTACTTCTGGCTGCGACTTCCCAGTCTGTTATTCCTGAGAATGGATTTTCGATTTAATTTTTTTCCTGATGAAGATGAAAGCAAAGAGCCCAATGCTCACAATGAGACAGAGCCCTGTTCTCCAACACATGAACACCCAGAGACGAGGCTGCCAGAGAAAAATGTCTGCATCAAAGCTGCTAAGGAGCACTATATCCCTGCAGATGTCAGTAAGGTACTGGAAAATAAAGTCCTGGAAACAGTATCAGGGCTGTGCTATGTAAATATGTCTGTCGTGGAACTGACATGCCAAGATGGCACCCATGAAGAAGATATTGTGTCGAAAAGTGTTTCTTCTCACTCTGATCTCATCCCAGGAGTCTATGAGGGAGGACTGAAAATCTGGGAGTGCACCTACGATCTGATGGATTTCCTTTCTGAAGCCAAAATCCAGTTTGCCAACAAGACAGTGCTGGATCTTGGGTGCGGGGCTGGACTGCTGGGAATAGTCGCCTTAAAGGGAAATGCTGAGAAAGTCCACTTTCAGGACTACAACAGCACAGTGATTGAGGAAATAACCATGCCTAATGTGGTGGCTAACTGTATAAATGATGGCAGTAAGGCTGACAGCGAAGATGACAGAAAGAATGTTAAGCCTCCTTCAAAGAAGCGCAAGAAATCAGAGTGCCTGCCTGACGAGCTCACCAAGTGCAGGTTTTTCTCTGGAGGGTGGTCTGAAATCAGCCAGCTCCTGTTAAGCAGCAGCAAGCCCTGTTCAAAATACGATCTAATTCTCACGTCTGAGACCATCTATAACCCCGACTATTACGGTGCTTTGCACGATACGCTGGCTCAGCTGTTGGCTAAAAATGGCCGTGTGTATTTGGCAAGCAAAGTGCATTATTTTGGGGTCGGTGGGGGTACCTACCTCTTTGAAAAATTCCTCGAGGAGAGGAAGGTGTTTAAGAGCAGCATAGTGAAAGAAGTTGAGGAAGGGCTAAAGCGCTTTATTTTAGAAATAGCCTTTAAAGACTCCACTTAACATGAATTCCAGCAGTGCTCCAAAATTATCTTGATAAAGACAAAATATTTTTATCCTCATACGTATTTTTAAATTTTACTGGGTTATTCAAAATGGATGAGTTAATGCTGTTCTTTTCTAGCTATTGAAAATATTTTGACAAATTCTGATGCTTGACTGAAGTGAAGGACTCTTCTGATTCTGGTAGAAAAGTATATTCCTGCATAAAGTATCATCTCTTCAGCCCATTTTGTTACTTGTATGTGTTTAAAAATAAAGCAAGTCACTGTTCCCAGTCCGCCTCTCACATTCCGTGGCAGTGCCAGCACAGCCTGAGGGCGATCATTTAGCTCCCTAATATAGGGCAAGTAGTTCTTAAGGGCCAGGCTCCCATCTCAGCTATGATTTAACTGCAGCAACAAATTTCAGAATCAGCTGCATACCTGTGCGCTCTGCTGCTTTGCCACCAGAGGGGGATGTGATTGTATTTATCGTTGTATTCTAAGCAACTGTACTACTTCCTTTTCTAAGACCTCCGCAGATACTAACTGCCCACATGGTATGGCCCATTTTCCAAACTTGCCTTCTTCCATTACTGTAATTTCAGGCTACTGGGGGCACTGCTGAACACTATCATAACTCTTCAATCTTCTAAGCAGTTGGGCAGGGCAGCAAACTTTCAGAAAAGTCTGCTTACAAGTCACTCTTCTGCGTCGTAGGCTGAAGATGCTCACAGTGGGACAAGACTATGTTGCTCAAGAAATTACTATAAGAAAAACTGCAAACAAAACGAGAGAACTACAAAATCCAGTCCCAAGTGTTTGGAATCACCAACAACTCACAAAGAAAATAACATTGTATAATTATTTTGGACAGAAAGCTATTACACGACTGTACCAGGTACATCAATCTTACCTCTTGTCAGCACACGCTGCTTTACTGCAGCAATAATGCTTTGGGTGTCCTTGCAAAAATAAAAACTTAAGAGATAGTCAACCATTACAGTAAGCTGGGTAAAGGGAGACTGTATAAACTCGAGGCAGAAAAGATTGTCTGAGAAGATGGAAAAGGAATCACTACAATAATGATTTCAGTCACATAGTATTACGTAAGTTCCTGTCATTTCTGCGTATGAAAGCCAACTGCGAGGTTCCTATTTTGACCATGTTGCTATTAAGATAGCCATAGAGGATTTCCCATACTTCATTGAAGAGTCTTAACTAGAATTGTTTATGGAACAAAAATAAGTAGACTACTTAAATGGATGCTTAGGACACTACTGAAGTGCTCTCTCACAGCAGAGAGGGAAAAAAGCAGTCACTTGATGCTAAGGCTGTGACTGCACTGCAACCTGCCAAAGACAGACAAATGCTGACTGTGAACAGGGGAACAGAAAAAAAGATTTAGCTCTGGCACAGGTCAGTGAAATACTGTTAGCAGTTCTTTGTCAAAAATGGAAAGTTGGAACACCACTACTACTTGCTATTTTATATACCTCAGCCTGAAGACAAATCATTGCTGGCACATGCTGACTGGCCACCTGCTAGGTGCTGTTTCAGAGAATGGTACCTAAAGCAACAAAAAAAATAATAATCTTGACTTCCTATGACAATGAATATAGTTAAGAACAAGAATCTCATGTATTTACAGTGAATAAAGAAGGCTCTAAACAATTGTAATGCTTCCTCTTGAAAATATTCCTTGATCAAACTCACCCTGTCTCAGGCTTAATAACATTCCTTTGTTCAGCATCCTCATCTTATTCGTGGATTGCTCAAGCAGCTCAGTTTTCATGCAAATACAGAATCAGATCTTTTAGGAATTTCAAGTGAAGACTGCTAGAGCCACAATCACACAGTGATTGCACACCTACAAAAAAGGAAACCCAACACATTGTAATTAAGTTCCCATTTTAGAATGATAAGAGAATCAGTATAGGATATTTTTCTCAGGTGAAATCAGCATTGAGATTTCCATAACTTCAGATGAGTTCTGTTCTGCTTTTAGAAGTCAGCAGACACACTTAATTTTGTGAGCTCGTTGTTCTGTTGCTGTTTCAGCATCAGTAAAAGTGTTGTTCCTAGATCAGGAAAGCCAGTAAGACTTTTCTACTTGCTAAATCATCATCGCCCTTGTGACCAGTTTCCTGCTTCTTTTCATGATCTGGAATTAAAAAAAAATCTTCGTCTTACTTGTAAGACTTATTATTGGTAGGGCAAACAGCATTTTTCCAAGTTAAATTACATTAGAAAATAATAGAATTTAGAGGACCCTCAGAGCCCCCTTTTTATAATGCAAACCATTGTATCAAGCCCAATTTCTTTATTACGAAACAAAGAGGTCAACTGGCAACTCAATTTTCAGCTCAAGTCTCTCCTTTTCTCCCCTGCCCCATCCCCATACTTTTTGAGAGTCACTGCAGTAAGAAATCCTGTATAAACTATGTCTTTCTCGTAAGTACTGTAGTGAGAAACATTAAAGTCTGTCATAAAGTGTTTCAGGAAATTGAATTTAAAAGCCTGTTTGTTTTAACATGCGCTACCCTTAGCTGATGACTTCCTCCTGAAGACCATCTGATGGTTTTGGGAAAGGACAACGCCAAAAAAAAAAAAAAAAAAAAATCAGTTTTGTATACTGGCACCAACTAAACAGCATCCGTTACAGTTATTTCACTGAATGTTAGGGGAAAAAAAGCCCAGAGGAAAATAGAAGCGGGAAGTGCTCAAGCTGCAGATTAGTGACATGCATGCTATTCTTGGTTACTGAGTACCAGGCATACAATCACTTTCTGAAGTTGTTTTTTTTTTTTTGCACAAAGCAATGATCTGCAAACTAAGAAATACCTGGGGATTATTTAACTGTACTATAAATTAAAGGAGAGTCCAGTGTTCCGGATTCATGATAACATACATTCCATTCTATTTATTGAAGCACAACTCACAGAAAGTTTCCAGATTTTAACTGCTTGTCACATTCATAAGTAGCCAATTTATTTCTTGTCATCTGACCATGTAATTTCATAATCTGTGTACACTTTTTTCAGTATCTCTACAGTCACCGAATGATCTGCTTTTCCATAGCCCTGCAAGAAAGAGCAAGAGTTTATTAGACAAGTGCAGAAAGCGACTCCACAGGACCATTCAATTGCTGTCAACACACGTTATTCAGCAGTGACAGCTTGATACTGCAAGTAGCTCAAATAAAAATTAGAAATAAATGCATGTTCTAAAAAAAAAAAAAAAAGTTGCTCTTGCAGTATAGCACTTCATTTTTCTATTATCATCTCCAATTTCCCCCAACCCAATTTGCAGAAAATAAATGAGTCGATCTCCAGTAACAGGATGCATTTTATACACCACGATTTCTCTAACAAAAAGCTTACTTTAAAACACTCCCAATCCCTCAGCCACTCTATTTACTGAATGTTCTTTTTAAACTACAGACTGTATTGACCCACATCAACATATGAGCCTACGAGCATCTGCTGCAGCTCAGCTGAAGGACAACAGAACAGGAAGCCATGTGTGAACATCTGAGTACTATTCTAGTCACCAAAGGGACCAAAGTCTTTACTTGTTATCTCTCTGGCATAATTTCATACACAAATAATCTTCAGCACTACAACTCCAAACTAAAGCATCATCAGACTTATCTCATTTTTAACTCTCTTTAAATCATTTATCACAGTTTCAGTCTTTCACTGAAATTGAAGAGTTGTGATACAAGGTGCGCTTCCATCGTTTTGACTGCCTGAAGTTACTAATCTTGATTTCTTATTTCAGAACTACAAGTAAGTTGTCACCTGTCAAAGACTTCAGTCTACTGATAAAAACCTGTTATTTCCACCTTACTGCCTTTTTCCAGTAATATTCAGTGAAACCCATTTAACTCAGACTGAAAAAACTTCAAGATTGCTTGAGCAATTCATACAAAACACAATAATTCATCACTGGCTCTATCTCTGAAGGAACAGCTTAAGTAAACTAGCATTTAAGCTGCACAAATTGAATTGAAGCATTAGAAAATGCATCAAACTCTTCAAACTACCAGATAATGGAGCTCTATAAAAAAAATACTGCTGGTTTATACTTTTCATTTTACATCACAATTCTACAGATCACTCTTGCTTTGGTAACTGCTTTGAAGACCCCCATTCAGCTTTGCAAATAACAGCACAGCATCTACTTTAAAAGAATCTGTTTCTCTGGTCTTCATAAAAAAAAAATTAAAAAAAAAATAATAAAAAAAAAAAAGATAATCTTCTTTAAGAGTCTGACAGCAAATCTCCAAGTGAAAAAAAGCATCAAAATGATTTCTATACCAACTTCTGACCTACAGCTGAAGTCTTTCAAATCTCCAGGTCTCTGCTCAACAGATGCCCTCCTGGTAGTAAAACTGTGCTTTCATCTTGTGCTCATCTGTATGTTTCAAGGTACCAAAAAGAATCACAAAAGAAAAAAAAAGCACTTTCCATTGGCAGTGTGTTTCAAGTGCTAACTGCTACTTCTAACAGTAAATTGGCAGCTAAATTAGTAAGGCAGGTGTCAAACCTCATCTAGTAATGCAATGATGATAGGCATTCACAATCAAGAGAATTGAGTAGAGCAAGTATTATCCACTGTCTTCTCTCCCTATAACAAATCCTATAGCGGTGAGTTTTTTTACATGATTCCAGCTGGCAAGAGTCAAAGAATCATAGAAACAGCAAGCATCTGGGATGGAAGAGCCAGAGATGCAGAGATAGCAGAACCAGAGAACCATGGAATGGCTTGTGTTGCAAGGGACAACAAAGCCCATCCAGTTCCAATCCCTGCCAATGGGCCAGTTACCCCTACAGATCAGGCTGCTCCATTCAGCCTGGCCTTGGGCACTTCCAGGGATGAGGCACCCATAGCTTCTCTGTGCAGCATGTCCCAGCACCTCATCACCCTTTGCACGAAGAACTTTTTCCTAAAACCTAATCTGTATCTTTCTTCTTTTAAAACCATTCCTTCTCGTCATCTTAGAACAAAAGCAACAATAACATTTAACAACAGTTAAGCAATAGGGACTAGGCCTTGAATGTGTTATCAGGTTAAGGTTAGCAGATTTGAAAGAGTTCTATCAAATCAGCTGAATTTTTTTTTTAATGTAAAGCGATGACTATTCTGTTCTCATCTACATTAAAAGCAAAGAACCTTTGCTCACAGCATTACTACAGAAGCAGCTATACTGCATCACAGAGCAACACAAGAAACAGACTATGGTACATCCCTCAATTCAAGAAATTACCACTGAAGTCTTTCTTTATGAGAAGACTCAGTAACTTGCACAGAACAGAAACGCTCAGGTTTCCACACGCAGAGCCACTTCTATTCTCACAAAAACAGATCTGTGCACAGCTGCACCTTCGCTCACCGAACACCCAGCCCACCCACACTGGGTGCGCCCTTCTCACACACACAGACTGTTCACAACCCAGCTGGTCAACTGCCAGCCAACGTTTCTATAGCCAAAGATCACACTGAATCATGACCCCGTGGCTTATAACAAGGCTATTCCTCCTCTGTCACTAAGTCTGTGAGCCAGGAAACGCTGATTTCCACTTTTAGCCTTGTTTGTAGCTATCATTCCACATTATCTGCTCCTTTGGCTTTGGTCTCCTGCCCTTAAAGCAGTGTTTTCCCCACAGGGGAGCCAGGCAACATTCCCAGGGAACATTTATGCTCTGATTCGTTACCACACTTACTTATTACAAAACAAAACCTCCAGAACAACGGAGATGGAAAGGAATACAATAGGCACTTACTGTAGACAGCCCAAACACCCTAATTTTCTTCTCTTTGCTATTATGATCAATTTTCCCTCCTCCAAGGCACTTGCACTCGTATCCCAGCTTCTCCATCTCAGGATTTACTTTCTCAAAGATGTGATCTGTACAAGGAGAACAGAGCCATCAGAGCCCTATAACTAGGACTGTCAGCTATTCGCAACCAGTTTTCCCTCCGAGCCGAAGGGGGGTTTCTCTTGTCAGACGGGCACGAGCAGTAATTAAGGCTGTATGGCGAGCATAGCGGGACAAATGCGGTTTGAGGCGCTTCGAAATGGCGGGTGAGAGAGGAGCCGGGACGCACGGCGCTCCCCGCCTCAGAGCCCCGCTCCCGCCCGGCACGCACTGTGGAACTCGGCCGCCTTGGTGCCGCGCACGATGTCGCGCTGCTCCCCGCCGCCAGGCCGCTGCAGCCGCACCAGGATGTACTTGAACGTGCCATCAGGATCGATCTCCACGTCCCGCACAGCCGCCATGGCAGCCCCACAACCCGGGAGTGAACGTAGGGCTCGGCGGGCGGGGCGGCCGCGTGTAGCACCGCCCAGCGGCTCGTCCTGAGCGCGTCATTATTAACGCAAGTTTCCGAAGCGTACCACAAATAAAACTATTAGCGAAGCAGAGGCGGTCGTAGAACCGCAGAATGGTGGGGTTGGAAAGGACCTAAAAGATCACTGAGCTCCGCTCCTGCCGTGGGCTCTGGCTGCCCAGGGCACTTCCAGGAATGGGGCACCCACAGCTCTGGGCGGCTCCGCCAGCTCCTCACCACCGAGTGAAGAGTTCTCTCACCTCCATCTCCCCTCTTGTAGTTTAACGCCATTCCGCCTTCTCCTGTCACAATCAGATTGTGTAAAAAGTCGCTCCCAGAAGAGTACCAGCTGAGCACAATATTGGAGATGCTTCACAGGATGAATTTGGTTTTTATACGAGAAGCTGTCTTACGGTTTGTTTGGTTCTTAGGGCAAATTGTTAACTGAGCTACTTTCTGAAATCTCAGTGAAGATTTGCAATGTTTTGTTATTTTAGAAACAACTTTTAGTTACCTTTTTGGGTACAGGATAGCATAATTACTGTGAGGAAAGAAATAAATGACCAAAGTGCTGATAAACCAAGCCAAATTCCTGCTAATTAAACCTCAGAGAGTGAGAAGGTGAGGAAGGTGAGAAGGGTGAGGAAGGGCTATAATTAGGAGACCAAGCCTGCCATCTTTGCTGTCTTGCATGGACAAAGTGTGGCAGGGAATGTAACAAAATCTGTCTCAGTGAGGTGCATTACAGAATCATTAAGGTTGGAAAAGACCTCTCAGATCATCTAGTCCAGCTGTCAAACCAGTCACCACCATGTTCAATAACCATGTTGACACGCAGATGTAAAGCAAAATCGCTTATGCAAACCATTGGTCTGACACCTGCAAGATCATAGACTTATGCAGACACAACAGGAGCCTTGTAGGAAGAACCAGGATGTAAACCAGTCAGCACCAGTACTGTGGTCTCAAAAACCACTGAGCAAGCCAAAGGTGAGAAGTACACCAGGAAGCCTTCATGAGGAAGAGTTGGAGAAGACCCCTGCCAGGATGACCAGAGAGCAGCATGCATGTGCCCAGAGGTGGGACATAGTATAATGATTTCCCTAAACTAATAGAAATATTATGATGAGTTATTGGGACTCTTAAGCAAGCTCAAAACACCTTTTGTGTAATCCGATGCATACGTATGATTTTGTATATTAAATAGGTGACAAATAGGCGGTTTGGTGTGCAAGTTATGAGGAGTAATTCCCCTCGCACCTGGTGCCATAATAAACATACCTGCTTTATAACCTTATGTGGGTTATAGAGTTTGATTCTGCACATCAATTTTGGTGAGCCAGGAAGGAGGCACTCTGTTCAACTGTGGGACCAGCTGGAGGGAGGGGAACCCATTGGTACGCCCCAAGATTTCTCAGAAGTACTCCCTCCCCTTACCTGAACACTGTAGGAACAGACAAGAACTATCAGCGGACCAGGTAGGTTTAGATTGGAGGGGAACCTGTAAGTCATGAGGAGATGTCCTACAAGAGGTGTGGAAGAGCAGGGAATATTGAGTAAGAAACCAGGAATATAAATGAAGTAATGGGACCAGTTATCATAATTGAGTATTCTAATTGTCAGACCAAGAGCTGGATGTTTGTAGAAGTTGAAGAACTGTATTGCTTGACTTGTGGGTCTTGAAGGGAGTGGGACAAACTGTTTTAATGGTATATGGAAGTGTAATTGAGGGTACAAGTAGTGGAATTGTGGAAAAAAATGGCAAAAGACTTAAAGAAAAACAGTAAGTTTGAGATATTAGAGTTTGTGATCTGCACTGGCCAAGACAGATAGGTGCCAGCATGAGAACACCCCTGTGGCAGAAGGGTCTTGCTGTAGACAGCATGCTACTTACAAATGGGAAGGGGGTATAGGTGAAACTGAAATATGTTAATAGTGTTTGTAATTATGAAAGTTTGGAAAGTGTGGGGGGAAAAAAAGGAAAAAAAGATTTGCAAAATGCACAGTTTGAGGAAGACAAAGATGAGCAAGATGTAACAGGGATGTGAGGACCGAGAAGAGAGGTGAGGGATCCGAAAAAACTGATTGAGGAACAGAGATGTTAATGAAAGAAAGAAACTGGGAAGAACAATAGCAGCTGCTACTGTTGCTGCACTAAGTCATGGCCCGAGGACCCAGAGATCTCCCCGGGAAGAGGTACAGGGAGCCTGGAAGGACCCAGGGAGAGTTCTGCCTCCACTGGACTGAAAGCAGTGTGCAGATAACAAGGAAATGGGACGTTGGTGGAGAAGCTGCCTCAAGCTGAGGGGGAAGGGGACCATCTCTGATTGCAAAAGCTGAATGATGGAATGACAGAAGCTGGGAAGTTTCCCAAACTGGAAATAAAAAACAATGTTGTACACCCAGAAGTTACAGAAATCTTGAATCATTTATACCCAGGCATGTAGGCACTGGGGATGCCTGGCAGAACCAAAAATGCAGCCCCAATAGAAGTTAAGCAGCTCTATCAGGATAAAGCAGTGCCCCTTTGAGGATACAAGTCTGTAGAAGATAAAAGAAATAAAAGAAAACTTTTTGGAGTTTGGATTATTAATTGAATGCAAATCCAAATGTGACACCCTAGTCTTGCCAGTGAAAATAGGACAGCAAGAGCTATGATTTGGTACAAGATTTGAGGTCAATTAATAGAATTGTTGAAAATATACATGCAGTGGTGGCAAATCCTTACACTTTATTAACCAAAGTAAGGAATGAGTAGGTGGGGTTTACTGTTCTGGGTTTGAAGCATGCCTTGTTCTGACTGGTTTTGCCAAAGAAAGTCTGAAGTTATTTGCCTTTGAGTAGGAAAACCCCAATATGGAGAGAAAAGTCTCAGTTAACCTGGACAATTTTACCCAGGGTTGTGAGAACAGCCCAGTGATTTTTGAGAACCAGTAGGCTCATGTGCCTGAGACTGGGTTCATCTGCCCTGACGTGGAACTTTGTTGCAATATGTGGATGCCACAGTAATAAAAAGAGGACTGTGTTCAGTGGACTGCAAGTTTGTTGAATTTCTTGGTTTAAATGGTTATCAAGTTTCTCAACAGAAATCTAGAAGGAAGAAATCATTTTGCTGAGTGCCAAGGGCACGAATGTGGAGCCACCTCAGAGCCAGGAGTGCATGGCTGCTTGGAAACTGTCTATGCCAGTCAGCCAGACCTACAGAAGGAATCATTGAGCGATGCTGGCATTTTCTGGATTCATCGACGGAAGCAGTTTTATGAGACAAGGACAAAACCATTACCTGTGGGGACTTCTGCTCTGAAGGCTGAAATAATTGCCTTGACAAGAGCCTTAAATATGTGGACAGATGCTAAATATGCATTTGAGGTGGTACACACTCATGGTACCATCTGGAAAGTGCAAGGATTGCTCACACACATGGAAAACAAATTCAGCATGATGTAAATCTTCCAAAGAGCGTGGCTATTGTACATTGTAGAGGACATCAGAAAGGTAACACTACACAGAAAATTGGAAATAAGATGGTGGATCAGGTGGCAAAACAGGCAGCTGAAGGGAAAAAAAAAATAGTGAACTGGCTTTAAACTTTAAATCTTTTAACCTGAGTCAGAACCTGTAAAGTATTCTAGACAGGATAGGAATCTAATTAATGATTTAGAAGGGAAGGGAGCAAGCTGACAGATGGCTGCATACACAGATAGACATGTTGTTGTACCCTTTAGTGATTCTAAGGGAACATAATAAAACATATTGGGGAAACAGACACTCATAAATATTTGAACAAAGTGATTTTATGATCCTGGTACCAGAAACAGGGTACAAGTGGGGCCTATCAGGAAAGGGAGCCTTTCAGGGCAACAGTGGCAAACTGATTTTTGGAAATTCCAAGAGAAGGGGGGTTTCATTATATGCTAGTACTAACAATACCTTTTCAGGATGGTCAGAAGCATTGCCCTTCAGTACCAATAAAGCCAAAGAAATAACCAAGGTGTTGCTGCAGGAAGTAATTCCAAGGTTTGGGGTTCCTGCAACAATATTCTCTGGTCTGGGAAGTTTTTCAGTTCTCTTTTTGAAGAGGAAGATCCCAATTGCATAGGTGCAATGGCTTCATAGTCGGTGCAAATTGGGAGCGGGATACTGGTGGCTGTGTGGAGATGGCAGGGACAGAAAGTCTTTTCCCAATCTTTGGAAAGAACATTGCATGGGAGGATATCTGCCTCCACAAGGTGGGATTTTTAAAGCACCTCAGGTGTTGATAACCCTTTGGTAAGATATAATACTGGGTATCATGGTTTTATAAAGGCTTTGATCACTACCCTGGGGGTAGCCCGGCTAGAGACAGATATTGTAAATATTTCAGCGAAATGGAAATAATAGCAAATGCAGTGGCTGAAGGACTTGCAGGTTTAGGTAAATTCTTTAAAGGAAGTTGTCCTCCTAATCAATACCAGTTGTTGCACTTATACTGGTGAACACAAGAAAGTGGAAACTAACATCAAAAGAATTTGTGATCATTTGAAAACCCTAGAAGACACCCAAGATGACACATCCTGGGGTAGTGCTAGTGTTAGGGAGAAACTAACTTCCTGGTTGTCAAACCTAGCCTGGATCAAACAGCTGTTCGTGATCCTCTTGGCTCTGATTTTCACAGTTTTGATACTCTGCCTCATGCTGAAATATCTTATGTGAGCATGTAGGCAAACTGGGAATAGCTATGAAGTATGGAAGAAGCATTGACTGCAGCGGAGAGTGGAGGAAGGTAAATATTTTGCTAAGACCCTAGAACAGAAATGGAATTATACAGCAAAAGAATTTGCTAGGGTAGGAAGAAAAGGGGGAGACTTGACATGTAGACATAAAGTAATTGCTTATGCAAACCAGTAGTGTGACACCTGCAAGATATAGCACTAATGCAGAGACAATGGGAACATTGTGATAAGAACCAGGATGTAAACCAGTCTGGACTGGCATCGTGG